ATTCAGGGGATCTATGTGCAGGTTCGTTACTTAGATATATTGCATACTAGGTTTTGGCTTTCAGTGTGACCATCACTCAAATAGTGAGCCTTTTACCCAATAGGTAATTGTTCAAATCTCAACCTCCTCTCACCCTTACCCCATATAAAGGGCCCAGTGTCTATTATTTCTGTCTAATACATCTTTTTTCATGTTTAAATACACAGATATGGCCAGGCATGGTGGCTCACACCTGTAATCCCAGCGTGTTGGGAGGCCAAGGTGAGTGAATCACTTCCCGTCAGGAGTTTGAGACCAGCCCAACATGTTGAAACCCCATCTCTATTAAAAATACAGCCATGCATAGTGATGCAGGACTGCAGTTCCAGTCACTCGGGAAGCTGAGGTGGGAGAATCACTTGAATCCGAGAAGCAGAGATTGCAGTGAGTCAAGATCACGCCAAAGACACATGGATTGCATTTCCTTTGAAATATGCATGGGTTTTAAGATGAAGGGAAAACTCATTTGCCAAAATCCTTTATGGGTTATGCTGCATCAAAAAGATTTGGAAAATTACTTTAAATGTTTGGAAGAACCACAGACATCAGGTTCAACCACCCTTGGAGATTAAATCAGTGTCCTTCATCCAATGATAACTGGTCCCTTGTTTTGCAGACATTTCTTAAAAATGTCAAGTCCCTTAAACATAAGACCTAACACCATAAAAACCCTAGAAGACTATCTAGGCAAAACCATTCACGACACAGGCATAGGCAAGGACTTCGTGACTAAGAACCCAAAAGCATTGGCAACAAAAGCCAAAACAGACAAATGTGACCTAATCAAACTCCACAGCTTCTGTACAGCAAAGGAAACAGTCATTAGAGTGAATCAGCAACCAACAGAATGGGAAAAAATTTTTGCGGTCTACACATCTGACAAAGGGCTGATATCCAGAATTTACAAAGAACTCAAACAGATTTACAAGACAAAAAACAAACAAGCTCATTCAAAAGTGGGAGAAGGATATGAGCAGACACTTTACAAAAGAAGACATACATGAGGCCAACAAACATATGAAAGAATGCTCAGCATCATTGGTCATTAGAGAAATGCAAATAAAAACTATATTGAGATACCATCTCACGCCAGTTAGAATGGCAATCATTAAAAAATCTGGAAACAACAGATACTGGAGAGGATGTGGAGAAAAAGGAACACTTTTACACTGTTGGTGGGAGTGTAAATTAGTTCAACCATTGTGGAAGACAGTGTGGCAATTCCTCAAGGACCTGTAAATAGAAATTCCATTTAACCCAGCAATCACATTACTGGGTGTATGTCGAAAGGATTATAAATCATTCTTCTATAAGAACACATGCACACGAATGTTCATTGCAGCACTGTTTACAATAGTAAATACCTAGAACCAACCCAAATGCCTATCGATGATAGACTGGACAGGGAAAATGTGGCACATATACACCATGGAATACTATGCAGCCATCAAAAACGATAAGTTTTTGTCCTTTGTAGAGACATGGATGAACCTGGAAACCATCATTCTCAGGAAACTGACACAAGAGCAGAAAATCAAACACCGCATGTTCTCACTCATAGGTGGGTGTTGAACAATGAGAACACATGCACACAGGGAGGGGAGCATCACACACTGGGGTCTGTCGAGGGGAAATAGGGGAGGGACAGCGGGGTATGGGGAGTTGGGGAGAGAGCATGGGGAGAAATGCCAGATATAGGTGATGGGGAGGAAGGCAAATTACGCTGCCATGTGTGTACCTATGCAACAATCTCGCATGCTCTTCACATGTACCTCAAAGCCTAAAATGCAAAAAGAAAAGAAGAATGTCAAGTCCCAAACCTGACACTCCTTAAAACTGACTTTCCTAATGCATGAATTGCTAATGCAATGATAGAGTCTTACTATGGAGTCTTCCCCGGAGATCAGGAATCCATTTTCTGTTAGTTAAGCCACCAGAAGTACATTTCAATTTTACCCAATTTTTCAAGTGTGGTTAAAGACGTAAGTCCTCTCTGTCCTGTAGGTAAAAGTTAATATTTCTAGGGAGCCAAAAGGAAATTGAGTTTTCAAGCTGAATGAAGAAACTAAATAATCAGAGGTAAAAGTGGAAAACTTCTTTGTTGTAAATGTATTCAGGCCAGATTTCTGACATATATTCGTTAGCATACTTATTTAAGAACAAGAAAAGGAAGAAAGGAGAAAAGGAAGGGAAATAGGAAAGAAGGGCGGGAGGGAGGAAAGAAAAAAGGAAAGAACAAAGAATGAAAAAAAAAATAACTAGGTGATAAAGTGTCTTTGAAGCCAAAAAATGATTGAGTGAAGTGCCAAACATAAATTATGTTTAACAGGAATAGGCAGTTTCATGAAGATAGCTGGGCTGCAATAAGAACAAAATACCAATTACAACAAACTCAAACAGACCAATGCACAGGAAGGTGACAGGGTGACGTGAGTGAAAAATGTGTTGGCACAAGTGATGAACAAGGCATCAGAAAACTAGAGGAGGGGTGCTATACAGTTAAAAGAAAATCAAGTAAATGTTAAAATCATGAACAAAGAAAAATTACAGGACGATACCTAAACTGAGAGAAAGTGTACAAATGCACTCAGTAACTGAGCTGAGGGGAGTGTAAGAAAAGATCATCTAAAACAAGTGAAGTGCTGTTATTTAAATCTGCGCAGTCAAACAGCTTATATGAAAAAGACTAGATCAGATTATGCATGCAGTTATGATGTGAGAGGAAACAGCTTTCAAAATTGTTTAATGACCTCCCTATAAGAAGCTTAACAGGATTATCACACAGTTCACTGGAGGATGGACAGCAATTCTCAGCGTGTCCCTCGCTCAACATGTAATTCCAATATTCTCCTTTACAGGGAGGTGCAAAATCATTGTGCTACTCAAAAGCATTAGTTGAAAAGTCAGGATGCTTTTAATGAGAAAAGTTCAACATAATAGGAAAATAAGGAAGGGAATAAAATGGGTACTATAACCTGAGCTCTTTTAGCATGGTTCTGCCCAACTAACTATGGAGGTGTCTGGGAAGGCTGAACCCTCTAGAAATTTTAGTTTGCTCTGGTCTCCTCAGACCTGCCTGGGCTGCCTGCATCCTAGGTAACTAGTGTGACATTCTTTGCTTCTGACATGTTACTGCTCCTCTGTTCTGCTCTCCAACCATTTCTTGTTAAAGTGGTGAAATATTCTCCACCTTCTCTTCTGTTATGCAGTCTACAAGCCAGTACAGCTTTGCATTGTCAGTGTGCTTGGACACTCTAATGAGATGGATGTTTATGATAGGTTGGCCTCTGCTAGTTGTGGCATTGGTACCACTTGGGTGTGGGAGAGTGGTGATGGGAAAGGGAAGAAATCTGTCCAGAAAATACTCTGAGCAATGCTCATCAGTTGTGGAAGAACAAATCATACTTTTTCTCCTGGAACCATCTATTATTTTTGCCCTAGACTTAGATTCTCTGACTCCTGAGAAACTGTATTAATCAATGTAATTAGTGCCAAGCCCTGTAACAAAACAACCTTAAAATCTTAGTGACTTCACCCACTAAAGGTTTTTATTTTTATTTTTTATTGCATTTTAGGTTTTGGGGTACATGTGCAGAGCATGCAATACAGTTGCATAGGTACACACATGGCAGTGTGTTTTGTTTGCTTTCTCCCCTTCACCCACATTTGGCATTTCTCCACAGGCTATCCCTCCCCACCTCCCCCTCCCACTGGCCCTCCCGTTTTCCCCCCAGTAGACCCCAGTGTTTAGTACTCCCCTCTCTGTGTCCATGTGTTCTCATTTTTCATCACCTGCCTATGAGTGAGAGTATGCCACTAAAGGTTTTTCTTCACCCACTAAAGGTTTTGCTTTCCATTCTATGATTCTGGAATCCCAATTCTTCCATCTTGTGGTAGAATAATTTTCTAGGGCCTCTGCAGAGTTTTCTGCTGTATCATCTGTATTTAGCTGGCTGGCTAACAAAGAGTGAGGAAAGTCACATGACACATTTTGTGACCATGACTGAATGCAGTAAACATTACTTCCATGACAGGACCCCAGTCTTAACTGCTAAGGATGCTGGGAAATGTAGTTTTCCTAAGTGCTCAGAAAGAAAAAGCATGATTGATGAATATTGAGCTAGTCTCTGCCATATACACAAAGGGGTGTTTCCGTCCCTATTGTAAATTATACCTCAGTGGATCTGTCTTCCCAGCCTTTTTTATATGTTCAGATATGTCTGAATTTATAAACATTATTTAATATGGAAACTGAGAAAGATTAAGGTGTACATAGTCAATAAGTGACAGACCTGAAATGTAATTCAGATTCGCCTGAATCTCAAGTTATGTCCTGCCTTCAAATTTTATACTTCGGGAAGTGGCATCAGGAAGAACACCAGATTGGGAGGAACTTGCCTGATTTGCACCCCTGGAGTCCTCTGAGATATCAGACCTTCAGTGGCATCAAAGGTTTGGTTCAGTAGTACTATAATTAAGGGAAGTTAAGGGTACTTCTGAGGTTACAGAGCAAACTGAAATTGATGTTGTCTTACAGTGGCAAGAAAGTGAAAATCATTGGGAAATAGTCATCACCTCCTCCTCCATGTTGGATACAGGAAGTAGGACATGTTAAATGGCCTCAGAAAATATGTACACCTCTTCTTCACCTTTCTTCAGAAGGCTGAGGGAAAAGCTAAGAGAATGCCACCAAGAAGAAAAGACAAGATCGGGCTTGGATTTTAGCATCATGCTCACACTGTAGTTTTCTTTTTTGGCAACTGTGTGGGTATGGATGGATTTTAGCATCATGCTCACACTGTAGTTTTCTTTTTTGGCAACTGTGTGGGTATGGATATATTTTTACCTCACAGAGCCTCAGTTTTCCTGACAGTAAAATGGAGATAGTAAAATGCAAATAATTAGAATTAAATAATTTATACTAATGCTATGCCTAAAAAATCAGAGGCATTGCAACTAAAGATTTATTCATTTTGTTTTTTATTAACACTTTCTGTTTCATACATGTGCCCTCAAGGGGAGTCATAATGGTGGAAAGACAATTCTCCTGGATGATAAAAAAGACCCGAGAGACAAAATGTAAATAAATAAACAAATTATTAATCAATAACTTCATTTATCCATCCACTTATTTAGTAATTCATTCATTCTTTCACATATCTACCAGTATATATACTCACTACTGAGAAAACATCACAGTGGACATTAGAGAAATCTGAAAAAGATAACATGGCCCCTGCTCTCAAGATCTGTGTTCTCTAGTGGAGGAGCAGGCATATGTACAAGACATGGTAATTACAAGGTGAGATATAATAAAGGACATGTTTAAATTAAGTACTGTGGTAGTGCAGAAGAGGGAGACTAGAGCAGGGAATCTGCAAAGTTTAAGAGAAGCAGCAGCATTTATGTTGGAACTTGAAGAGTGATAGTTATGGGATTTTCTGTTACAGGAGAAATTTCAGAGCAATAATCTAATTGGCAGGAGGCAAGAGTAAGTCTTTTGAAGCTAGGCCTGCATAGCATGAACACCAGTTTTCTTAGAGTGTTTATTACAGATCAATAAAAATGACTCAAGTTTTAAAGATGCTTTTATTCACAGTCATAAAACTATAAAAATAAAAAAATTTATAAAACATTTCTTCTTTATACATATTTACCAAAATGTTAATAAGGTATACTACTTTAGTTAGTTTGCTTGAGGGCCTGTATGCTTCGGCTGCCATAACAAAATACTGTAGGCTGGGTGGTTTAAACAATGGAAATTTATTTTCTCACAGTTGTGGAGAATAGAAGTCTGAGGTCAGGTGCCAGCCTGGTCAGGTTCTGGAGAGGGATCCGTTCCTGGCTTGCAGATGGCCACCTTCTCACTGTGTTCTCACATGGCAGACAGAAGACTCTGGTGTCTCTTTGCCTTCTCATACCTCATTCAACCTTAATCATCTCCTTAAAGGCCCTGTCTCCAAATATAGTGACACAGCAAGTTAAGCCTTGAACATATAAATGTGGGGTGAGGTGGGAACAATTCAGTCCATATCAGGGGCTGATGTAATTCACCCCTTGGTGATTTCTCTGCCTTGGAAACGTAGGTATAATCCTATTTGAGGACAGATCAGAGAGGTAATAGGAGCAGAATGATTTGCTTTACCCAGTAAGGCCTCAGAGTTGTCACAAAATTTCCAATGAACAATGTCAATATGATTCATATACCGGTAAGCCAATATCTATTTGAAATAGTAAACTAACTGACCTAGTCTTGCCTTTTAGAGAAACCTTTGAAGACTCTCATAAGAATTGATATAGATTTCAGAATTTTTATTGCTAGTTTTCTAGGAAATCCACACAAATTTTTACAGGTTAGCTAACATTTTTGCAGCTGTGTTGGATTTTATTTTTTCTTGCAGGTAATAGGCATTTTTTATTCTATACAATTTAATCATAATTAACGTCATGTTCTCCAACACAAACATATATGGCATGTAGCAATAAAAATAATCACTCTTAGTTGACTAAGGAGTGTAGGGACATTTAAAGGTTTGCAAGAAGCTGATAGTTGATTTCAAAGAGATGCCATCTTTCAAAAGTAACTACATATTTGGAAAAATGTCGCCAATAAAAAATAATAAGAGGTTCTGATTCTTTTCATGTTTAGTTCACGTATCATGACTATAATTCTGCTTCATAATTCACATTCAATTCTCACTTTACTTGTTCTGTATTTAATACATCTACCTTGTGCTATAAAAAGAGAATTTGGACAGGATATATGTTGGTGTTAAAGTGTTTGTTTTTGTGTCCCCTCAGTCAGAACCATCCTGGGGAAGTCTTGGCCCTGGGGAAATCACATGGTGTGCTCTTTTTCCCCTACTTTGGCAATTTCGTGCAACAGAAAGTACATTCAACTGAACAGCAATATTCTGGAAAGGGAAAAGAAATCACAGATGGGCCAAGTGCAGTTTAGGAGATGTGTGTGGAAGGAGGAGCAGGGCCAAAACAGCCTTTAGCCCATAAATGACTTTGTTAGAATTACAAAAAAACATAACACTTCTCCTGGGTGGACACAGCCAACCTCATGCCAGAGTATATGGTCTGGCAAACAGAGTGAAGGCTGGACTTCAGCTCCCATTTGCCCCTTCAGGTGGGCAACTGTCTGCAGTGGTTTGGGTCAGAGCCAAGTTGAAGACTAAATAAAAAGAACGGCTCTTTATGGTACCCACTGTTATATCTTGCACATAATAAGTAGCTGGAAGATGATGAGTATGAGTGAATAATTTAATTGTAATTACATTTGAACGGCACTCAATTCTTTGTAGAAGATAATATTTGAGAATGAGCTTATAAGTCTAGATTCCAAAGGTTTTCTACTAATCTGAAGAAAAGTGTTTATGAGCAGTGTGGTCAATTTGTAAATTTTTCCTCTTGAATAAGATGAAGGATAGTCTCAGAAAAAAATAAACAAGAATTTGTGTTATTTAGTCTGTTTTCTGATCTGTCAGGTAAATTTGGATATGGGATTATCTGTATTTTTGTGTAAAATAAAATGATGTTTTCCCTTTCTCAGGTCAGTTCAACACACTTTTATGTAACATCTCCTGAGAGGAGAGTGCTGTGCAAAGTCAGAGGCTGAGAAGATGAATGATGAATTCTTTCACCTTAGGGTGTTTCTTTACAACTCAGAGAGATGAAAATGTATGCTCAGGGGACAACACAATGGTACCCTCTTCAGGTTCAAGACAAGCTACATAATTTTTAGGGTTTCAGTGCAAAATGATCTGGTGGGTCCTGGCATGATACAGAAGTCAGCCTCCCCTTCCCACTGACTGCTGTCTCGATCCTTGGTGCAAAGGTAAACCCCAAGGGAATCACAAACTATGGTCTGGGCCATGCTCAGTTCCTGGATCTAGGGTAGGCAAGAAGCACTTTCCCAATCCCCAAGCAAAGCCCAGGGCTCTGTAAGCCCAAGGGAGAGACAGATATCCATCTACTCACCCTGAAATGCCGCAGGCACCAGCATCTCACTCACACACAGGTCCCATTCCAAGGGAATCATAACAGATACGATTTTTGATGTTGGCCTTAAAGACTCTCATTTCAACAGTCCTAGAACAAAACAAAACAAAAAAAGGCAACGTAGGCCGAGATTGATTCCTGAGGGAAAAGTATAAATGTGAAAATCCAGTCTCGTGTAAGGATTGCTGGTCAAGAAAGGACTCCACTAATTCTGGGAGAGCTGGAGATTAACTACAGGATGATATTTCTTCATTCAGTAATCATTTATTAAGTGCTGACTAGGTCTCGGGCCTTGTGCTAAGTGTTGCTGCTATAATATTAAGCAACATTAGATGTATTCTTTACCTTCATGAGACTTCTAAGCTCATGAAAAAATCAGGGTTATGTTGAGGAGGTTCTAGAATCTCCTTTACATTCAGGGTTTCTCTTTTGACCTGAGAATCCCTTATGTTGGAAACGTTTGTCTTATTTCAAATGTTGTAGAAGTTGCCAAATGTGGGCAATGTCCACCACTGCCATCCGTTAATTTAAAATATTTATTTTTCTACATTGCATTTATTACTATGTGTTCCTATCACTCTAATGCTAAAGTCTAATATATTTTTAACTTATTTTTCACTCCTTTCCACTGTTTATCGATAGTAATAGTGAAGACAGGAATACGTTACTGAGGACGACTTCACCAGAAGGTCACTTGTAGTTTGGTTACTTGGAATTCAAAGCATGTAACCCACTGCTTAACATCACTTAGCAGCCCCTAGGAACATGTTTAGTCCATATGTACCTGCAATAAGTTCTATAGAATATGACTACCACATGAGAGAAGGATTCTAAAAGGAAACCCTTAGAAGTAATTCTGAGAAAATACAATTTGTGACTTACTAGAAACAGATCTTTCCTGGTGTAACATGTAAAAATTTCTCATTGGTCATTTCCCACAACAGGCCAGGCCTGCTCTCTAAGGTGAAAAACGGAGCTCAGATTCACCCTGAGGCTTGGATGTGGAAAGAATGAAGGACAAAAGTAGAGACACATGAGGCATCAGAGTTGAGGGCAGGTCTGGTTTGGCATGGGTGAGGAAGAGGGATACAGTAATGGGTGACTACAGACAACCAGAAGACAGGGGGGTACCTGAATAATGATAGACATGAAGACCAAGAAACTGGGAAGAGAGGCAGACATCAGGAGGGAGGGGGCCAAGTTGTTACTTCCTAACTTCATAGGAATTGTGGCAGTGCCAACATTTTGCCCAGCTACTGAAAGCTATCCTGGAAACTGTCGGATAATAGGAGCAGTAAAGAACATAGGACTAGTGAGAAAAAATGAGGTTATGTTATGTGGAATATACTATAGAATGTATGCTCCACATGGGTAGAGAATATGTATTGTTTATTGCTTACTTCCCAGTACTTAACCCAGTTTCTTGCACTCTGTAGGGGGTAAATACGTGTGTGTGTGTGTGTGTGTGTGTGTGTGTGTGTGTGTATTATATAATTAAGAAATGAATGAGAAGAGATTTCTAAGTGGAAGTGGATTTTAAAAAGTCAAATCTGGCTGAGAGTGGTGGCTCACACCTGTAATTCCAGCACTTTGGGTGGCCGAGGCAGGCGGATCACGAGGTCAAGAGATTGAGACCATCCTGGCCAACATGGTGAAACCCCATCTCTACTAAAAATACAAAAAGTTAGCTGGGCACGGTGGTGCATGCCTGTAGTCCCAGTTACTCAGGAGGCTGAGGCAGGAGAATTGCTTTAAACCAGAAAATGCAAGCTGCAGTGAGCTGGGATTGCACCACTGCACTCCAGCCTGGATAGAGTAAGACTCTGTCTCAAAAACAAAAAAAAAGGCAAATCTACAGGCTGTTTGCAGCTGATTAAGCTACTCTGATGGTTGCAGGTGAAGATTCTAGAAGAGTGTGGTTGTCTGAATTCAGGTGCCAACTGTCACCATCGCTATAACAATGGGCAAATTTTGGTGTCAGTTTCTTCTTTCATGAAATGTGGACAATTACAGCATTTGCTTCATACGATAAATGTGAAGAGAGGATGAGATAATGCAAAGCTTTTTGTGCCTAGCACATAGTGAGTGCTGAGTACATTGTAGGTGTGATGATGAGGATGCTGACAACTTTGCTATTGAGAGTAGTTCCCAGCTCTACAGACAGGTTCCAAGTTTTTCAAAGATAAGACCACACTCTGCCCTTGCCAAATCTGAAGCAAGAAGGGAGGAGTCTCTCTGAGAATTTTCTTTAGGCATCTTGGAAGGGTATGTGTGGCCTTGAGTCTGGCAGCGACAGAGCTTAGCAGAGTTGTTCACAGCAAATCTGTGATGATGATCTTCTCATCTGTCTTCTAAGCTGTAGGTGGCTCCTTCTTTGGGAAGCAACTTATCATCAGAAGTTGGAACAAGCTATTCTCCAAACAATGCTGTCGTTGCCTTTTCTTCCATTTAATTAATTCCAGTCTAATTTTATAGAAAGTATATAAATATGATTTATGCATACTTGTACCTATATTTTTCTGTGAGGCTTGCCATGAGGTACATAGCCATGTAAATAATATCCTTCTATAAATACTTCTGGCCTGAATACTTAACGTTATTTTTTATAGCCACATTTGGGTAATTTAACAAGTAGAGGGATGGATATTGCTTAACCTAACCTTCAAGTTCTCAATGACTAGAACCAAGAGGTGAACCTCTTATTACTTTCAGGTTATATTTTGCTGGGGGATTTAGGTAGATTTCAGCTGATAGCATTCAAGACCACTTTTGCTAATACTTTCTTTCCAGTTCTTGTCAATCTAACTCAAGAAACAGACAGCTGTCTGCGGGCTGCCACTTGAAGGTTATGAGGACATGATCCATGCATCCTGTTTTTAGCTTCACTTTGAGTGAATATAAAATTAAGTCAGGCCATGGCTTAAATACCCTCAAATCCTGAGTATGTTTCCATACAACTTCTGCAACTTTCAGCAAGGATCAATTGGGTGCAGCAGAGTGACTTTGCTGAACTTCCTTTGTGCTGTATCTGTAAGCATGGGCATCAATGAGCAGATTTTATTAGAGGTCACTTTGAAGAATTGGGAGAAATGCCTTTTCTTGTTAACAAACATAATTTTTAAAAAATTACACAGAATTCAGCATTGTCAAGTCTTACAAAGTGCAATCATAAGCAGAAGGCTTGAAACCTGATTTTGCTTAAAGCCTTTATTTGATTTAGTAAAAACAACAGCAATAAGTTGTATTCAAAAGCACTTTGATTCCTTTGCAACAGTATTTTCACAAAAGCGGGGTCTACAAAACATTTCCCCTTTTTCATTTGGGTCAATTTTTCATAGGCTTCCCAAATGATGGAAGTCTGTGTTTATAATTCCTGAGACAAAGGGTTTTTGAGGCTGTAGTGCCCACACTTGAAACTTGGTATTGTTAGACAATGATTATGCACTAATTTTACATTTATTTTCTTGAAATCTTCTGTGGAAAGAACAGAATTCTGAGAGTTGAAAATGAAAATGCAAAAATATGTCATTAGAACATTTAATACAAACACTCCTATTCTATCTTCCTCCTAAAGTTTTCAGATTTATTTAATCTTTTCCCTTTATTCTTTGTTTCCCCAAAATAATATTTTAATGTTTGAAAAGCTAGTAGTCAACATCTACAATTGATACTCCATAGGGTTATAAATAGTAATAACAGGGCAGTAAGTTGAGGCATGCATCTTTGGCTAAAACTTACCGGAAGAATAATTCTTGAATGGCTGTAACTACATTTAATTTTCTTCTGATTTTACCTGTCACATAGAATTGAATACCTCTTTGATTCTTCCTCATCCTTTTGCCAAATTATTGCCCCAGAATAGATGATTTTAAATATTCTCCAAATTATTTAACAAATATATAATCATATTTGTGATCTACATGACAAAGGATGCATGCAAGTTATAAAGGTATAATTTTGCTTTTATTTTTCAACAACCCCTCAAGAAGTCAAGGCAAATTGAAGAATCTATTTTAAATGTGATGACATTGAGGTGTAGAAGCTTAAATGGCTGGCTTGCTTAGATGATTAGTCACATAGTAGCTAGAGGGAGTCAGCTAGAGATGGTTAGTCACATAGTAGCTAGAGCCTCCTGATTCCTATGTACAAGATTCTCTTTACTATGCTGCACAAAATGTTAATGGTTAGATAGGCCTCTAAGAGGTAGAGGTTTGGCCAATTCTGTGATTATACAGCTATAAAGAGCAAAGGATACGCATTCTCTGAAGTTTATTATGTCATTCCTAGGCATCTAGCTCCCTGGATACTTCCCTGAATGAGTCCTAAGGTGTGATGGCGGTTTCAGGCATACTAGAATATAGCATCGGAGACTTGGGGAGGTCCAGGTAGTGGACTGGAATGCATGAAGTTATTAAATATCTAGGTCATCCTTTATATAGGGTTGTAATGTACACTCTAGCTTCCAACTTCAGTGCAGACAGAAAGGGGGAAAAAATCCATCCTGATAAAATGTAATCAGAAAGCAGTTTGTCTTTCCAAAACATTACTAGGTATTATTACAAAATGTGAACACCTTTCACTCCCGACAATCAGGAAATGCATGCTGCACTGCCGGTATGTCAATCAGAGTGATCGCATCAATTTTATGGTTTTTAATTCATTCCCACCTCCTGCCGAGCTTTTTGCTCATCCCAAATTATGACTCTTAAAAGATATGTGACTAGGAAGAAAAAATAAATGTCTCTGCCTGTGTGAACTCCTGTGTGAAGAGCAAGGAGCCAGATGTTTAGGAGATTTGTAAAACAGGGGCTGACCACTCCGTGAATAAACAAGCAACTTACTTTTCCTTAAGCTGGCAGTGCCCCTTCATGCTTTTGCTTTGGTACTTCATTAGTAGCTCAAGCAGATCATTTTTCATAATGCATTGCCACCTTTGAATTTGTAAGAAAAGGAAAGAAAATAATGTGTTTTACATGCTATATTTGTCAGTCCATGATGCTTCAGAATTACATTTTCAATTTAAGTTTTGAGTGTCTATTTCTTTAGCAGTGAAGTTTTGTTGATTTTTGATATATTAAATAAATACAAAGCTAATCCTGAAGCCTAGCTTTGAATGAATCAAAGCAATGTCTCTCATGGCTCTTTTCTTTCCACCCCTCAATTCTTTTCTTCATCACATAATAAAAATAAGGAGCATTGTCAGTTCAGTATATAGTGAGACTATTAAAGATAAATAAATAACGTGCTCATGTGGTGTGTGCACACACACACACACAAAACCTACTTCACAACAGGGGGTTTGGGAGCCTGGGGTGTCTGAATCTGTCCTCCCATGCTCCTCTCTTGTTTCTGGTGAGCAGCCATTTTTCTTGTTTTTTTCTGTGCAGCTCCACCTGGACTCCATTTGCTGCCACAAACTCTGCAAATATCACACATCTACTTAAGATTTAGGAATGTGATCTGATAGTTACTGATTGGAAGGTGAAGCAATAACTAGCATTTGGTCAAGGTCAATTTCTTCTCCTGATTCTGACTCCTAAGAGACTATTTCATTGTTGACAATTCCCTATTTGCTGATAGCACATGATGATATATTTCATGGATCTTTAATGAGAATGCTTGCTGTGCGGTGTCCTCCATGTTTAACTTACTCTTGGTCAGGTCAGCCTTATCCTTAACATTTTTAATGCTTGAGTGCTCTGGCAAGAGTGCATAGAGCCTGCAAGTAACTCACATGGCATTTTGTTGTACAGAATTTTTTATTCTGCTTTTACCACAACTCCTTTATAATTCAGAATTAAAGTATGCTGGTTCTCTTCCATGCAAAACAAAAAATATAAAAAGTAACCAAGAACACATCTTTTTCTAATGGGGCACCAGCACAAAATATTGAGTTTTGAGAATGATAACTGGGCATGTACAGATGTGGTTAATGCAGTAAGACCTGCTGTATAGGGAGGGAATCCCTGGCAGAAAAGCCACCTTTTTTATTTGAGAACAGATAAGAGATCAAGGATCCTGTCAAAGAAGTCACCTATGAGGGCTTGGTCACACTCTTCGTATATGCAGTGTTAGCATTTCCAAAGTGAATATACACATTTTATCTTGCTTGATTTCTCAGTTAGGCATTCTGCAACTGTGTTATAGGCAAGGGAGTTGAAGCTTACAAATGTTTAACAACTTGCTTAAGTTCATGTAGATAGTAAGTGTTGCAGCTGGAGTTTGAACCCATGTTTACTGACTCCAAATTTAATACCCTTTGCTCTATCCTATAGTTGCTTACTATTAGAAACACTTATTTGGTACTTCTTCATGTTTGAATTCCAATTAAATTATTTTATTATGGATTCCTCAATAATGCTGACATGTTTTACAACAGATATTTGCACGTGGTGCACATGAAATGGGTACTTTTGATTAATAGTTTTCTTTACTCTTTCTTCATGTGGAATAGCATTCCATCATAACACAAATGTTTACAGTCACTACAAGCACCTTTTAGATTTTGAGAACATAAAGTGGTTGTTATGAACTGAAGGTTTGTGTTCCCTCAAAATTCATGTGTTGAAGGCCTAACTCCCAGTGAGGGTGTATTTAAAAATGAGAACCCTAAAAATGTAAAATAAGACTAAGTGAGGCCATAAGGGTGGATTCTAATTTGGCAGAATTAGTGTCTTTTTAAGGGGAAATATCGAAGAGTGGTATCTACTCCCCACTCCACCACACACACATAGTAAGGAAAGACATATGATGACATACAAAGACATGGAAACAAGAAGGAAGTGAATCATTTGGAACCTTGAACATGTCTGCCTAGCCTCCAGAACTGTGAGAAAGTAAATTTCTCTTGTTTAAGTCATCCAGTTGTTGTATTTTCTTATGGCTCCCTTAGCAGACTAATACAGTGAGTAAAGCCACATCTCATTCAAGCAGCTTGTTTTCCTGTGGAGGGATTGGAGAACAGTCCTGGAGATATGGGTGAGTTGAATGTATACCCATGTGCTTTGTCCCTTCAGAATTAAATATCAAGGTTATTCCACTGGGGTCAAAATACCCTCAAAGTCAAAACAGCGAAGTCAATATTGTTCAAAACACTCTATACTTTATAGAATTGCATATAGTAGTTTCTGAGTCTGCACGGTCTTAAGGTAAAAGTGAGAATGATGGCAGAAAGGGCTTCAAAGAGATAAGTCTGTCTTGAATGAATAGTAATTTTCCAGAAAAGCAGAAGAGAGAGCATGTTCCTCAGAGAGAACAATTATGTAAGAACAGCTGTGTAAGGGAACATGCTAGAATCCTAGATTCTGGAGACTTAAAGTTGGTGTGGTTAGAGCTCAGGATGTACAGAGAGGAGCTGTAGAAGATAAGGTTGAACAGATAAGAGCCAGTTTTCTAAAAATCTCTGTAAAGTTTAAAAGTCAGGCTTTGTAGCATGGTGGGGTGCTAGAGAAGGGATAGCATTAGGAGAAATACCTAAGGTAGTGATGGGTTGAGGAGTGCAGGAAACCACCATGGCACACGTATACCATGTAACAAACCTGCACGTTCTGCACATGTATTCCAGAACTTAAAGTATAATTTTATAAAAAGGAAAATAATTGTAATCTGGATAGTTATAAAATCAAGTTTGCAGTTCGGAAGATTACTCTCAATGCACTGTGGAAATTGTACAGGAACATCGTCTTGGGATGGAATTTTAGGGAATAATGCTGGATCATAAATTCTCTATGGATGGTAACAGAACCTTTGTCTTTGATATTACCTTCTTAGCTAAAATACAGTTCAAATATTCAGCCACTTCAGAAGTCAAGTGACACTTCCTTTTTTTTAGCTATAATATTTAAATAGCTCTTATTTCTTCGATAAAAGGTGACTTTTGTTTTTCTGGATGCCACACAACATGGATGATACCCATGCTCTGGATCTAGTCAAAACCTGAGTGGCCCCAAATGAGTGAGCTGGTGGCCTCGTGAGAAATCCAGCATTCTCTACTTCTTCTTAACATTCTGAAGTTTCAGTTTTATGAGGTGCCACATTTTGCTATGCTTTCAGCTGGACCTGCTTGAAATTTCTTAATCTGATATTTCAGGGAGCAGTAAAAAGAACAAGTAAACATGTTCCCGAGCAATTACCAATGAAGCCCTTAGTCCAACAGGATTCACCAAATACATAAACTTATCCTCTCCTGGTCAAGATACTTTAGATTGGAAGTAGTTGAAATATGGGAGGAAGCTCATGTTTTTGTGGTGTGAATTAGATTTTGTGTGTATCTGTGTGTCTAGTGCATTTTAAACTATTGTAAAAATCACTACTCTTAAACTCTTCTAAAAGTAACTCAGTTGTAAAAAAGGTGGGCAATTCTTTTTGTGATTCCTATGACTTCCCCCAAGTCATCTGCTCATTCTTTCTTCTTCAAAGAAATTAAAATATTCGTCCACTGGAGAGGGACTGTCCTTACTTTTGTATATCACACGGAATGCTTAAAACCGACTTTACCTGTGAGAGCCAACAGCAGTGATGATGTGGTTATCTTGACACCTGCAAATGCCGCTCTTCCTGTGTACTTATTGCTGAGCGATGGCCCGCGCAGGCCGCAGGGATGGATAAAAGCCATCAGGTCGCGGTAGTGGGCGGGAGAGAAAGAGGGTGCTCCAGCGGCCCAGGAGTACAATGGGACTGGACAAACTGGTGTGGTGGGTGCTGCCGGCGCTGCTCTGTCTGCACCACAGGCTCAGCTCACCTCCCAGCTCCGCTCTCGGTTCCACACCAGCAACTGGATCTGGCGGCGCAGCTGCCGCGCTGCCTCTGCCGCGGTCCTAGCGCTGCTTGGCTTTAAGCTCTGCAAGCCCCTGGCAATAGGCAGGAACCGCCTTCAACATCGCCACTGGCGTGGGGGGTTGTGCCTGGCCACCGCCCACCACCCGCTGCTGGCACGTGGAGGGCCGTTTCCTGAAGAAGCTTCCTGTGCACACGGGCCTGGTGATCACCGAGATGGAGCGGGAGCCCATCTACTGCGACATCGCCAGCCTCGTTGTGTGGTGTATGGCCGTGGGCCAAGATCACTTGACCTCAGGAGTTCAAAGCTAGCCTGGGAAACTTAGTGAGACCCATCTCTATTACTATACATTTTATTTTTTAAAAAGGCAAAAAATGAAAGGTGTTATTTTTTTTTCTTTTTTTTTTTTTTAAGTTCCTAAACCATAGTAGATAGGTCACAATTACAAATTTAACTCCTTACTACACATGATGGTGACCACAGTTAGTAACATTATATACTTGAAAATTGGTGAGAGAGTAGATTTTAAGTGTTCTTACAACACACACAAAAATTAATTGCCGGGCACAGTGGCACATGCCTGTAATCCCAGCAGTTTGGGATTCCAAGGCAGATAGATCACCTGAGGTCAGGGGTTCAAGACAAGCCTGACTAACATGGTGAAACCCTTTCTCTATTAAAAATACAAAAATTAGCCAGGTGTGGTGTCACGCTTGTAATCCCAGCTACTCAGGAGGCTGAGGCAGGAGGATTGCTTGAACCTGGGAGGCAGAGGTTGCAGTGAGCCAAGATTGCATCATTGCATTGCAGCCTAGGAGAAACAGCAAGAAACTCTCGCTAAACAAAATAACAAACAAACAAACAAACAAACAAAAAACCCTATATGTATTACCTTACAAAGTCTGCATTGTACACATTCAGTTAACAAATAACAATAGCGATAGCACACCACACACCATGATGTAAACTGTATTTAGGGCCATCTAAATAGACTAGTACTTTGAGTGTAGGCAATTTCAAGGTGAGGGGGATGAACAAGATCATTTATAAACTTCAACCACAGACATTCTTAAGATTCTGTGACTTTTAACCACGAAAGCAAAACATTTGTGATATTTGCATTTGATGCAGCAGTTCTTAACTAATTCAACAAATATTTGTTGAGTACATGGAAAGTTGATTCTATCATCAGTGAAAATCAAGCCGACTCAGCCAGGTGCGGTGGCTCTGGCCTGTGATCCCAGCAGTTTGGGAAGCCAAGGCGGGTGAATCACTTGAGATCAGGGGATTGAAACCAGCCTGGTCAAGTGTGTGAAATCTTTCTCTATTAAAAATACAAAAATTAGCCAGGTGTGGGGTCACATGCTTGTAATCCCAGCTACCGGGGGGGATGAGGCAGAAGAATTGCTTGAACCTGGGAGGTGGAGTTTGCAGTGAGCCAAGATTGCGCCATTGCACTACAGCCTGGGTGATGAAGCGAGACTCTGTCTCCAAAAAAAGGCCAGTCGTGGTGGCGCACACCTGCAAACCCAACATTTTGGGAGGCTGAGGCAGGCAGATCACCTGAGGTCAGTTGTTCAAGACAAGCCCAGTCAACATGGTGAAACTCTGTCTCTACTAAAACACAAAAATTAGTCAGGTATGATGGCCGGTGCCTATAATCCCAGCTACTCAGGAGACTGAGATGGGAAAGTCACTTGAACCCAGAAGATGGTGGTTGCAGTGAGCTGAGATTACATCACTGCACTCCAGCCTAGGCATCTTAGCGAGGCTCTGTCTCAAAAAACAAAATATTGCTGGGCATGATGACTAATACCTGTAACCCCAGCACTTTAAGAGGCCAAGGTGGATGAATCTCCTGAGGTCAGAAGTTCGAGAGCAGCCTGACCAATATAGAGAAACCCCATCTCTCCTAATAGTACAAAATTAACTGGGCATGGTGGCAAATCCCAGCTACTTAGGAGACTAAGGCAGGAGAATCCCTTGAACTTGGGAGGCGAAGGTTGCGGTGAGCCATGATTAAACTATTGCACTCCAGCCTGGGCAGCAAGAATGAAACTCTCTGTCTCAAAACACAAATTAAAAAACTGGAGCCAACTCAAATACAGGTACACCCATGTTCACAGCGGCAGTGTTCATAGTAGGAAAAGGTGAAAACAACCCAAATGTCCATGGATTGATGAATGAATAAACAAGTTGTGGTCTCTCCATGCAGTGGAACATTACTCAGCTGTAACAAAAAAGAGTGCTGATGCATCATATATGCCTGGATGACCCTTGAAAACATTATTATGTTGAGCGGAAAAACTCCTGACACAACAGGCCACATACTGTATGATTCTTGGCCAGGTGCGGTGGCTCATGTCTGTAATCTCAGACTTTGGGAAGCCAAGGAGGGTGAATTCTGACTTGAGGTCAGAATTTCAAGACTGGCCTGGCCAAAATGGAGAAACCCTATCTCCATTAAAAAGAAAACAAAATAGCCAGGCATGGTGGGAGGCACCTGTAATCCCACCTTCTAGGGAGGCTGTGAGACATGCTTAAACCCAGACAGCAGAGGTTGCAATGAGCTGAGGTCACACCACTGTACTACAGCCTGAACAACAGACCGAGACTGTGTATCAGAAGAAAGCATCACACAAAATGTTTTGTTGTTGTTTGAGATAGAGTCTCACTCTGTCACCCAGGCTGTAGTGCAGTCATGCGAACTCATCTCATTGCAACTTCCACCTTCCAGGTATAAGCAATTCTACTGCCTCAGCCTCCTGAATAGCTGGGACTACAGGCACATGCCACCATGCCCAGATAATTTTTGTATATTTAGTAGATATGGGGTGTCACCATGTTAGCCAGGCTGGTTTTGAACTCCTGACATCAAGTGATCTGCCTGTCTCGGCCTCCCAAAGTATTGAGATGATAGTTGTAAGCCACTGTGCCCAGCCACATATTTTATGATTCTTTACATTAAATGTCCAGAATAGATACAGTCATAGAGATGGAGGGCAGATTACTGGTTGTCAGGTACTGCAGAAGGGGAGAGTTAGGAGAAACTGCTTAACAGGCACAGGGTCGGCCGGGTGCAGTGACTCATGCCTGTAATCCCAGCACTTTGGGAGGCTGAGCCTGGTGGATCACAAAGTCAAGAGTTCGAGACCAGCCTGACCAACATGGTGAAACCCCATCTATACAAAAAATACAAAAATTAGCCGAGCATGATAATGGCTGTCTGTAATCCCAGATACTTGGGAAGCTGAGGTGGGAGAATCAGTTGAACCCTGGAGGGGGAGGTTACAGTGAGCCAAGATCATGCCATTGCACTCCAGCCTGGGCAACAGAGCAAGAATTTATCTCAAAAAAAAGAGGGCGGGTGTTTTTGTTTTGGGGGTGATGGAAATAATTTGGAAGTAGAAGAAAAGAGGTAGTCACGCAACATTGTGAATGTACTAAATGCCACTCAATTGTTCGTTTTGTTTTTATTTTTGTAGAGACAGGATCTTCTTCCATTGCTCAGGCTGATCTCAAACTTCTGAGCCCCAACAGTCCTCCTGCCTTAGCTTCCCAAAGTGCTGCGATTATAGGCATGAACTACCATGCCCAGACTGAATTGTTCCCTCCCTCCCTCTCTCTCTCTCTCTCTCTTTCCTTCCTTCCTTTCTTTCTTTCTTTCTTTCTTTCTTTCTTTCTTTCTTTCTTTCTTTCTTTCTTTCTTTTTCTTTTCTTTCTTTCTTCTTCTTTGTCTCTTTGTGGCTCACACCTGTAACTTTGGGAGGCTGAGGTGAGTGGATTATCTGAGATCAGGAGTTCAAAACCAGCCTGACCAATACAGTAAAAATAGAAAAATTAGCTGGATGTGGTGGTGGGCACCTGTAATCCTAGCTACTCAGGAGGCTGAGGGAGGAGAATCACTTGAACCCAGGAGGCAGAGATTGGGTTCAGAGAATTACTTGAATCCAGTGAGCAAACCCATCATACCACTGCACTCCAGCCTGAGGGAGAGAATGAGACTCCATCTCAAAAACAAACAAACAAACAAACCACCATAAGATATCATCTTACACAGAATGGCTAGTACTACAAATACAACAAATGTTTTTGAGAATGGAGAGAAAAATGAATGCCTATACACTGGTGGTGAGAAGGTGAGGGAGCACAACTGCTATGAAAAACAATACAGAGATTTCTCAAAGCATTAAAAATAGAGCTAGTATTTGACCCAACCATAAAACTACTAGGCATCTACCTGAAAGAAAAAATAAATAATTATATAAAAAAGTCACTTTCACTCATATGTGTCTTACATTCCTACTCACAATAGTAAAGTCATGGAATTAACCTAAATGTCAATTAACAGTGAATTGGATTTTCACATGTGGTGTATGTACACCATGGAATACTATGCAGCCATAAAAAAATGAAACCATGCTCTATTCAGTAGCATGGATGGATCTGGGGGCCATTATCCTAAGTGAAATAACTCAGAAACAGAAAATCAAATACCACACATTCTCACTTACAAGCAAGAGCTAAACAATGAGTACAACAGAACATAAAGATGGGAACAATAGATAGTGGGACTCCGAAAGGAGAGATTGGGAGGAGGTTGATGGTCAAAAAATTGCCTATTGGTAGTGAGTTTTGATCATGCCACAGCACAACAGCTAGGTGACAGAGCAAGAACATGTCTCAAAAAAAAATTTGTTGAGCACAATGTTTACTGTTTCAGGGACAGGTTCACTAGAAGCCAAACCTCACCAGTATGCAATATATTTATTTAAAAAATGTGTACATACACGCTCTGAATCTAAAATAAAAAACAGAGGAAGTTTATAGTAGTAAACACATACATCTTGAAAAAAAATTCTGCCAGGTGTGATGGCTCATGCCTGTAATCCAGCACTTTGGAAAACTGAGGTGGGCAGATTGCTTGAGGTTGGGAGTTCAAGACCAGCCTGCCTGGCTAACATGGCAAAACCCCATTCCTACTAAAAATATAAAAAATTAGCCAAGTGGGATGGCACATGCTTGTAGTCCCAGCTATTCTGAACTGAGACTGAGACTGAGACAGAAGAATTGCTTCAACCCAGGAGGTCGAAGTTGCAGTGAGCCAAGATCACAACACTGCACTCCAGCCTTGTGGACAAAGGAAGATTCCACCTCAAAGAACAAACAAACAAACAAAAATATCAAATAAACAACCTAACTTTATACCTTAAAAAATGAAGGTGGGGGGGAACTAAACCAATAATTAGCATAAGGAAAGAAATAACAGAGATTAGAGAATAAATAAATGAAATACAGAATAAAAAACATTTAATTGGCTGGGCACAGTGGCTCATGCCTGCAATACGAGCACTTTGGGAATCCAAGGCAGGTGGATGTCTTGAGGTCAGGAGTTTGAGACCAGCCTGACCAACATGGTGAAACCCTGTTTCTACTAAAAATACAAAAATTAGCTGGGTGTGGTGGACAGCACCTGTAATCCCAGCTACTTGGGAGCTTGAGGCAGGAGAATTGCTTGAACCTGGAAGACAGAGGTTGCAGTGAGCCAAGATCTTTCCACTGCACTCCAGCCTGGGTGACGAAGTAAGACTGTCTCAAAACAAAACAAAATTTAATCAATGCAGCTAAGAGTTGATTTTGAAAAGAAATCAAAATCAAAGCCCTTACCTAGACTAACAACAGAAAAAGAGAATATGTTACTAATATAAGAAATGAAAGAGACAACATTACAACTGGTCTTACAGAAATAAGCAGAATTACAAGAAACTATTAAGAACAGGTATACACCAACAAATTTGACAACTTAAAAGAAATGAGAAAATTAGTAGAAACATATAACCTACCAAGATTGAATGAAGAATAAATGGAGAGCTTAAGGAGACCAATAACAAATAGAGGACCTGAAGAAGTAATTTTTCAAAACTCCAAAATACAGCCTAGGACCAGATTACTTCATAGGCAAAATTCTACCAAACATTCAAAGAAAATTTAATATAAAACATCCTCAAAATTTTTGAAAAAATTGAAAAAAGAGGTAACACTGTCAGAGTCGTTTTATGAAGCCAGCTTCCCCTTGATATCAAAGCAAGGAAATATACTTCTGAGAAGAAAATTATAGGCCAATATCCTTAAAAAACATGGTGCATAAATTTAATCTAAATAAATCTGTATACAAAGTGTCGATTCTCAGCAAAAGTTTTTTAAATAAAAAAAAATAAAACTTCTTTCATACTGGATTCTAGTTAAAACTCATCTATACCATCTGTCAGATACTGTTACTGAAGCTTACATTAATTGGAGTTCACTTGAACAGTAGTTTGTTCATCTGTTGGGAACTGATATATCTGGATGCCATTGCTAATCAACTCACTCGTTGTCTTGCTTTTAAACATCTGGAAATCTTTTTTAGAAACTGTGTCTCCCTTGGCAATCAGTGCTATAATGTTCACCTATTAAGAAAGAAGACAAACAAAACCTCAGCACTGAGGATTCGTGATTCTTCCTATAGTTTCTATAGTAAAGCCCTCACAACCTCTGACAACAATTTATGTAACTAGATAATCACTGACTGTCATGCCTTTTTTAAAAATTATTTTCCAAAATTATCAATTTTTTTTTTTTTTTTTGAGACGGAGTTTCGCTCCTGTTACCCAGGCTGGAGTGAAATGGCGAGATCTCGGCTTACCTTAACCTCCACCTCCTGGGTTCAGGCAATTCTCCTGCCTCAGCCTCCTGAGTAGCTGGGATTACAGGCACGCGCCACCATGCCCAGGTAATTTTTTGTATTTTTAGTAGAGACGGGGTTTCACCATGTTGACCAGGATGGTCTTGATCTGTTGACCTCGTGATCCACCCACCTCAGGCTCCCAAAGTGCTGGGATTACAGGCGTGAGCCACTGCGCCTGGCCCCAAAATTATCAATTCTTTTGAAGATTCACCTTCTATCTGAATTCAGATTTAGGAATCTCAACCTTGTTTCTCTTTTAAAAATCCCTTACACCTCTACACATATGGAGTTAGTGTAAATAGTAGAACAATGTAAATTATCTGATTTATTTGCAGTTTTATTTCTCATTATCCTCGGTGATAAAAAAAACAAAATAAAAGATCTTTCATCAAAATTGTGGAAGGAATTTTTGTCTTTCTTCTTTTTAGATCACATTTTCCATTAATCAGTCTTCATTAATGTCCCATTTTCGCACACTCTTGCCCCACCTACACGTGTTTGCAGATAGATTTGTTTTTGTTTTCCAAAGACCACTTGGAAAGAATATAGATATTTTCAGTTACCATATTCTTGTTTTTATTTTATTTTATTTTGAGACAGAGTCTCACTCTGCTGCCCAGGCTGGCGGGCAATGGTGCAATCTAGGCTCACTGCAGTATTTGTGTATTTGAGGTTGAGTTTTTAGCCACAGAGTTTTTTTCCCAGTGCTTCCATATTATCACTCCTGTCTTTTGCATTTGCACTTATTTAAGTAAACTTTCTAGAAAATAACAATATTCAAGACTATAAAATGTCTTATTACCTTTAAAAACCTTATTAAACTATAGCTCCCCAAAAGCAGTATCTGTAATATAGTAGAAATACCTAAATGTAAATTTTAGGCAGACTGCTTTTGTTTTAGAGTGCTCAAAGCACATCATTTAAAATATCCATGTACAGGCCCGGTGTGGTGGTTCATGCCTGTAATCCTAGCACTTTGGGAGGCCAAGAATGGTGGATCACCTGAGGCCAGAAGTTCAAGACCAGCCTAGACAACATGATAAATTCCTGTCTTTACTAATAATACAGAAATATTAGCCAAGTGTCCTATTCAGGAGGCTGAGGCAGGAGAATTGCTTGAACCTGGGAGGCAGAGGTTGCAGTGAGCTGAGATTATACTATTGTACACCAGCCTCATGGACAAGAGCAAAACTCCATCTCAAAAACAAAAAAAGAAATCAATGAACAAATTTAGGGCTTTAATATTATAGCACAGATGCTCAAAATTGTGTGAACTTTAATATCTAAAAATAAAACCTTCTCCAGTAAGAATCAGACAACTACTAAGGTGGATTCAAGCTGAGATTGCACCATTGCACTAAAGCCTGGACAAGAGCAAAACTCCATCTAAAGAAAGAAAAGGAAGGAAGGAAGGAAGGAAAAGAGGGAGAGAGGGAGGGAGGGAGGGAGAGAGGAAGGGAGGAAAGAAAGAATAAGAAAGAAAGAAGGAGGAAGGGAGGGAGGGAGGGAGGGAGTGAGGGAAAGAAAGAGACAAGCAGGGCATAGTGACTCACGCCTGTAATCCCAGCACTTTGAAAGGGTGAGGACAGCGGAGCACTGGAGTCCAGAATTTCCAGATCTGCCCAGAAAATATGGCAAGACCCCCGCCTTTACAAAAACCTAAAAATTAGCCAGGTGTGTGGGCATGTGCCTGTGGTTTCAGCTACTCAAAGCCGAGGTAAGAGAATCCCTTGAGCCTGGAAGTTCAAGGCTGCCATGAGTCTTGTTCATGCCACTGCACTCCAGCCTAGCCAACAGAGTGGGACCTTGTCTCAAATAAAGATAAAAGAAAGAGAGTTTTCAGTGAGTCAAGATAGCACCACTGCATTCCAGCCTCAGCCTGTTCAACAAAAGCAACTTCTCCCACAAAAAAATTATTTTGAGAGGCACAGACAATATTCACATAACATTTAATACAGTGTATTTTTATAATTTTTCTATTTTATTATTAGTTACTATTGCTAGCTTCGGTGTGAATCTAAGAAACTAACAATAGTAACTAATAATAAAAAAGAACTGCTTCTCATTTATAAATAAAACTTTATCATAGGTGAGTATGCATAGAAAAAAATCATAGTAGGCCAGGCACAGTGGCTCATACCTGTAATCCCAGCACTTTAGGAGGCCAAGGAAGGTGGATCAGAAGGTCAGGAGATGGAGAACATCCTGGCTAACATGATGAAGGTTCATCTCTACTAACTATACAAAAACAAAATTAGCCAGGCATGGTAGCATATGCCTGTAATCCCAGCTATTCAGTAGGCTGAGGCAGGAGATTTGCTTGAACCCAAGGAGCAGAAGTTTTAGTAAGCTGAGATTGTGCCACTGCACTCAGGCCTGGGCGACAGAATGAGACTCTGTCTCATAAAAGGAAAGGAAAGAAAAAGCATAGTATATATCAGGCTCTGTATTATGCATCATTTCAGACATCCACTGTGGGTCTTGGAACTTACCCCCAAGGGGGCTGGCTATTCTATAGGCAAATCACCATGATCTGGAAGGTAAGTCAAGGTTGATATCTATCAAATGTGAATTGTCTCCCCCGCAATCAAAAAATTTTTATGTTAAAGCCCTAACACCCAGTACCTCAGAATGTGACCTTAACTGAGATAAAGCCTTCATTACTGTGATTAAAAAGTGAGACTGGGCTAGGCATGGTGCCTCACACCTGTAATCCAAGCCCTTTGGGAGGCCAAGGTGGGCAGATCACCTGAAATCAGGAGTTTGAGACCAGCCTAGCCAACATGATGAAACCCCATCTCTAGTAAAAATACAAAAATTATCCAGGCATGGTGGTGTACCCCTGTATTCCCAGCTACTCAGGAATCTGAGGCAGGAGAATCACGTGAACATGGGAGGTGGAGGTTGCAGTGAGCCAAGATCATGCCATGACATTCTAGCCTGGGCATCAATAAAAGGAGGTGAGACTTACAGTGGGGCCCAATTCAAACTGACTGGCACCCTTAAAAGAAAACAAAATGTGGACACCCAGGAGACACCGGTAGAAACACCATGTGAAATCACCGAGATAAGGAGGTCATCTGCCAGACAAGAAAAAAAAGATTTCAGAAGAAACTACATCTTCCGACACTGATCTTGGACTTGTAGTCTCCGATGCTGTGGGCAAATACATTTCCTTCGTTTAAACCACTCAGTCTGTGATATTTTGCTATGTCAGCCCCAACACACTAAAGCAAATGCCTTAAATATTAACAGAAAAAAACAATTAGGATATATACATGTATTACAAAATAACAAGGAAAGTAAGGCATCGCATAATGGCATTTCAGTAATGATGGGCCACATGTATGATGGTGGTTCCTTAATATTATAATACTGTACCTTTCCTTTTTGTTGTTGTTATTTATTTATACATATATGCATGTATGTGTGTATGTATGTATGTATTTTGAGATCGAGTCTTGCTCTGTCATCCAGGCTGGAGTGCAGTAGTGTGATCTCAGCTCACGGCAACCTCTGCCTCCTGGATTCAAGTGATTCTTTTGCTTCAGCCTTCCAAGTATCTGGAATTACAGGTGTCCACTACCACCAGCTAATATTTTGTATTTTAGTAGAGATGGGGTTTCGTCATGTTGGCCATGCCGGTCTCGAACTCCTGACCTCAGTGATCTGCCTATCATCTCTGCCTCCCAGAGTGCTGGGATTACAGGCATGAACCTCTGTGCCCAGCTATTTATACATTTATATGTTTAATTTCTGAATTCAGGTGATCTATCAGCAGGCTTGTTACTTAGATATATTGCATATTAGTCAGGTTTTGGCTTCCAATGTGCCCATCACCTAAATAGTAAACATTGTACCCAATAGGTAATTGTTCAAATCTCAACCTCTTCTCATCCTTCCCCCTTATAAAGGGCCCAGTGTCTAATATTTCTGTCTAATACTGTACCTTTTTTCATGTTTAGATACACAGATATGGCCAGGCATGGTGGCCCATGCCTGTAATCCCAACGCTTTGGGAGGCCAAGGTGAGTGGATCACTTGAGGTCAGGAGTTTGAGACCAGCCCAACACGTTGAAACCGCATCTCTATTAAAAATTCAGCCATGCGTAGTGACGCAAGACTTTAGTCCCAGCTACTCAGGAAGTTGTGGTGGGAGAATCACTCGAACCTGAGAAGCAGAGATTGCAGTGAGCCAAGATCACGCCACTGCACTTCAGCCTGGGAGACAGTAAGTCTCCATCTCAAGAAAATAAAAAATAAATTTAAATAGATAAACAGATATGTACCATTGTGTTAGAATTCTACAGTATTTTGTGCAGTATCATGCTGTCTAGACTTGCAGCCCAGGAGCAACAGGCCATACAATATAAGACTATAACCTAGGTGTGTAGAAGGCTATATCACCTAGGTCTGTGTAGGTACACTCGATGATGTTAGCATAATAATGAAATCACCTAAATACATGTAACTGCACTTGCATGCAAGTGCCTTCAGGATGTGCTATTATCTCAAAATTAATATTACATTGTGAAATATTGGGATTGGGTACGAAGGCTCTTGCCTGTAATCCCAACACTCTGGGAGAGCAAGGTGAATGGATCACTTGAGCCCAAAAGTTTGAGTTCAGCCTGGGTGACATAATGCAACCCCATCTCTACAAAAGATGCAAAATCAGCAAGACTTGGTAACACGCTCCTCTATCCCAGTTAATTGGATGGCTGAGATTGGAAGCTTGCTTGAGCCCAGGAGGCTGAGGCTGCAGTGTACTATGTTTGCAACACTGTACTCCAGCCTGGGTGACAGAGCAAGACTTTGTCTCGAATACAAAAAGAAAAAAAAAAAAAGAAAGAAAAGAAAAGAATGATTGGTGGATTTACCAAACGCACCTTACTGTCAAGGTTCTTCATTGTTAAAATATTAAGAGACTTCCATGGAATGCTACACAGCCATAAAAAATGATGAGTTTGTTTCCTTTGTAGGGACTTGGATCAATCTGGAAACCATCATTCTCAGCAAACTGACACAAGGACAGAAACCAAACACCATATGTTATCACTCAGAGGACAGTGTTGAACAATGAGAACACATGGACATAGGTAGGGGAGCATCACACACTGGGGTCAGTTGAGGGGGTTGGGGAGAGACAGTTGGGGGTGGGAGGGAGGGGAAGGTGTGGAGGGATAACATGGGAGAAATTCCAGATACAGTATGTCCTTAAAGTAAAATAAATACATTTTAAAACAAGAGACTTCAGGGAATGTTCTGTAGGTGAAATGAAGTAAAGACACACCTGAACATGAGAATCATGATACTCAAACAAGGAATGTTTAATCTTCAATTATTCTTGAAAATATGCCTCAAATTGGGCATCTATGTAGTCAGCTATTGGTTGGTAGCGAAAAAATATTATACATTTAGAGTAACAGATTAATAAAATCTAAAATCTACTTTTTGATCACTTAATAAACAGTTAACATGTATGCTAAGCAGTTTGCTAACGTGATAAAGAAAATGTTCATAATATGTCCATACAAAAATATTAATTCCAAACCAATAATGAAACTCACGCTTTACTCTGTGGTTATGAAAATGTGACCATAGAGAAAAGCTGGGTGCATATGACAGGAAACTAGTATCCAGAATATACAAAGAACACAAGCTACTAAACAACCACAACAGAAGCAAAAATTCCGTTAAAAAGTGGGCGGGTGATGAAAAATGAGAACACATGGACACAGAAAGGGGAGTACTAAACACTGGGGTCTATTGGGGGGAAAAGGGGAGGGCCAGTGGGAGGGGGAGGTGGGGAGGGATAACCTGGGGAGAAATGCCAAATGTGGGTGAAGGGGAGAAGCAAAGCAAAGCACACTGCCATGTGCGTACCTATGCAACTGTCTTGCATGCTCTGCTCATGTACCCCAAAACCTAAAATCCAATAAAAAATTAAAAAAAAAAAAAAATACATACTGAGGGAAAAAAAAAATGGGCAAAAAATATAAATAGGCATTTTTCAGAAGACCAAAATACAAAGTAAAACCACAATGACATATTATCTTACTCAAGTCAGAATAGCTATTGTTAAAAAGATAATAAAAATAAATAAATAAATTACAGGCAAGGTACAGTGGCTCAAGCCTGTAATTCCAGCACATTGGAAGGTCAGTGTGGGAGGATCACTTGAGGCCAGGAGTTTTACACAAGCCTGGGCAACAATGCAAGACCTTGTCTATACAAACAATTCTAAAAATTAGCCGGGCATGGTGGCATGAGCCTGTAGTTCCATGCTACTCAAGGGGCTGAAGTGGGAGGATCAGTTGAGCCTGGGAGGTTGAAGCTGAGTGAGCTGAGATTGTGACACTGCGCTCTAGCCTGGGTGATGGAGTGAAACACTCTCTCAAAAAATAATAATAACAATAAATAAATAACACAATTTGGCAAGGGTACAGAGAAATGGGAACCCTTACACACTGTCGGTGGGAATGTAAATTACTACAACCTCTACAGAAAATTTGTACAAATAAATTTAAATAAAGAAATAAGCTAAAACTAATAGAAGCTATATTTAAAATATTTTAGTATAACTGGTTAAATAAAAATCTTATAAAAAATCAATTATACAAAAAAGCATTAATTTTATAAAAAAAGAACATTACTTAGGGAAATGTTAAAATATGGAAGAAAAGGTATTACTTATATAAATTAATCTATGGCAAAAGAAGCCACATGCCCTGAAATAAGAAAATCCTTCTTAATTTAAATAAGAAACACTAACCTGGCTTCTTTGTTATTTGATCACCATATCCCACTGTTTCCACAACAGTCAATTTCAACTGAACATTGTTTTTCTGAAGTTTATATGTCTGTATTTGAAGTCCAATATTTGAGTAAAACTGTGAAGATTTGTTATCTTTCAAGTTAGAATTAAACAATGTGTCAATCAGTGTCAATTTTTCCATCCCAGTTTCTCCTGAAATAGACACAGATTAATTGTCATAGGGGCATACAATGGCTAAGAAGAAGCAATGCTTTGAATTTCTACAGTGGTTTTTAAAATCTTAGTAAGTTGAACTCATAGAAGTACAGTGTGGAATACTGGATACCAGAGGCTGGGGGAGCAGAGACAGAAGAAATGAGGAGCTGTTTGTCAAAAAGTATAGTTTTTGTTTTTTACTTTTATTTTAGGTTTGGAAGTACACACAGAGCTTTGTCACATAGGTAAACTCATGTCGTGAGGGTTTGTTGTACAGATTATTTTGTCCCTGACGTGCTAAGCATAGTACCCAAGAGTTATTTTGTCTGATTCTCTCCTTCCTCTAAACCTGCGCCCTCAAGTAGACACCAGTGTCTATTATTCCTTTTTTTGTGTCCATGTGTTCTCAACACTTAGCTCCCAGTTGTAAGAGCATGGCGTATGTTCTCAACCAAAAGAAAAGAATGAGATCATGTTCTTTGCAGGAAGACAGAGAGAGCTGGAGGCCATCATTTTTAGCAAGCCAACAGAGCTTATTGCAGCACTATTCACAATAGAAAAGACATGGAATCAACCTAAAATCTCATCAATGGTAGACTAGATAAAGTAAATGTGGTACATATACACCATGGAATACTACACAGCCATGAAAAAGAAAGTGATCATATTCTTTTCAGGAACATGGATGGAGCTACCATTCTTAGCAAACTAACAATTTCAAACAGAGAGGAGAAATCATTTTTTTGAGATCTATTGCATAGCATTGTGACTATAGTCAATGTACTGTATATTTCAAAATAATCAAGAGAGTGAATTTCAAATGTTTCATTATAAAATTGATAGGTAAGCCAGGTAATAGATAAGTTAATTTATTTGATTGAATCAGTTCACATGGTAAACATATATCAAAACATCACGTTGTATCCACACATGTATATAATTACAATCTTTCAATTAACACTAATATTAATTTTAAAAATAAATAAAGGGTCTCAAATACTTCAAAGATGGGTAGTGTTAAAAGTGTACATGCTAGCCCTGATTCTCTCAGTTACTAACATAATGGAGAAATAAAGTATACACTCAGTTGCCAGGCATCGTGGCTCACTCCTATAATTCCAGCACTTTGGGAGGCCAAGGAAGGCAGATCATGAGTTCAAGAGATCAAGACCATCTGGGGTAACATGGTGAAAACCTGTACCTACTTAAAATACAAAAACTTGCTGGGTGTGGTGGCATGCACCTGTAGTCTCAGCTACTCAGGATGCTGAGGCAGGAGAAATGCTTGAAGCCAGGAGGCAGAGGTTGTAGTGAGCCAAGATGGTGCCACAGCATTGCAGTCTGGTAACAGTGAAACTTCATAAAAAAAAAAAAAAAAAAAAAAAAAAAAGGAAAAGAAAAGAAAAAAAGAATTTTAAGAGCACAGAAAGGTTTCAATTTCTAAAAATCATCATAGGTCGGGTGCAGTGGCTGATGCCTGTAATCTTAGCACTTTGGGAAGCTGAGGCAGGTTGATTGCTTGAACATAGGAAGTTGAGGCTACCATGAGTTATGATCACACCATTGCACTTCAGCCTGGGCAACAGAGTGATACCCTGTATCCAAAAAATAGTATATAATATGGCCATGATAAAAATCATTGTAAGTATAAAGATATATTTGAATTAATAGCATGAGTGTTCCACTGCTTAAGATAAGTTGAAATGAACATTGGAAAAAATGAAGAAATAGTTCAAATGAGATGTCTGACACTTACCGACATGAAGAATATTAAAGGTGAATCCCAGTTGGGTAAATCTGTCCACCAACTGATTGGATTAACATTTGAAAGCAAAATGTTCAAACGTAGTTAAACAATGAATATTATTTTCTTTTTGCTTAAATTAAAAACAGAAGTTTTTTAATAAATAAAAAATAAAGTCATTTGAGAGAAAAATTATATCAAAGAAATTGGAATTATCATTTGATTATCATAAATTTGACAAGATGCAAATATATTAAGTAAATCTGTGAAAATAGAAGTCTGTATTCAAACACATAGATTTGGCTACTGTTTTTATAAAGAAAGTGAATCTATCCCTCAGCACACTTAAAGAGGCTCTGTTTCGAAATTTAAAAGAAATCGTGGCCAGGCATAGTGGCTCACGCCTATAATCCCAGCACTTTTGGAGGCTGAGGTGAGTTGATTGCTTGGCGTCAGAAGTTTGAGATCAGCCTGTCCAGCATAGTGAAACCCTGTCTCTACAAAAAATACAAAAATTAGCCAGCTGTGGTGGTGCAACCTTGTAGTCCCAGCTACTTAGGAGGCTGAGGCACAAAAATTACCTCAACCCAGGAAGCAGGTGTTGCAAAGAGCTGAGATCTCACCACTGCACTCCAGCCTGGGCAACAGAGTGAAACTCAGTCTTAAAAATTAAAAAAATAAAAATAAATAGGGATTTAAGAATATACTACAAGAAATTCTAATGTAGTACTCTAACATATAAATTATTTCTTTCATTAGAAAAAAGAAAAAACTTTAACATCCTTTCATTCTGCTACAGCGTGTTAATATATTGAGAAAATCCCACACATGTTAATCCAGAGGCTTCTCAACTTATGATGAGGCTATGTTTCAAGAATCCCATTATAAATTAAACATATTGTAAGTCAAAAATGCATTTAGCATGCCTAACATAACTGAGCATTCTAGCTCAGCCTTGCCTGCCTTGCATGTGCTCAGAGCACTTACATTAGCCTACAGTTGGGCAAAATCAACTAAGACAAAGCTTATGGTATAATAAAGTATTGAATGCCTCATGCAATTTATTGAATAAAGTGACAAGCAGCACTATCGTAGGGTCAGAAATGGAAGTTGAATGATTGTCAGCTGGAGATTCTCTAT